TAAGAAATAACGTAATAAGACCCGCCAAGCCTACTAGACAGCACTATATAACTCAATATTATATCGGCTTTCGGTCAAACTAATATTCCGAGCCCTTTAAAAAAAACCCTATATACCCTTAAATATATAAGGGATTCAAATTAAACAACGCGACTAAGCGGTCTACTATAACCGCTAGTCCTACAGTGACTACGCTAGTAGAGATCGCATCATCGTAAAGGCAGTCCCTTCTACCAATTTAGAATACAACCGGTTCGGCGAAGCAGAGCGTTAAAGAGCATATCGGAAGATAAGGCATATGATCTATTATACCTAAAATATCTGCCTATAGCTTTAATTAAGTATTAGCGAACGGTAGTCAATAGCGGAACGAGATAGTTAACGTATCAAGGAAATTTTAAGGTATATAATACGACGCTAGTTAGCTTAAACCTTTTTTCTAAGGGAGGTTAACGAATTATAGGGAAGCTGAGGAGATAGGCTAATCTGCTAGATAAGACATATCTCCGTTCAAAATACGCTTTAGACCGCACTTTATTAGCAATATAGAAATGTCAGAACGCCTATACAGTAGGTAAGGATAAGGTAGGCATTTAGCTAGCGTCCCACTTAATACGAAATAAAAGATCATTTTCGTAAAAGTTAAGCAGTAGAGAATAAAAAAAATGAGGCATTCAATACTGCCGGTATAATCTATAAAGTATCCACCACAAGCTACAATTAATAGTAAGATCGTTTTTAACGTAAGTGATTATCCCCCAATTGTTTTTCTACGAGGATGCTTAAATCTACTCATCCACTTCTCCATCGATACCTACTCAAAACTAACGTTTCAATCAGAGACCATCAACATCGAGCTAGCCCTACACCTATAGATACCTCGCCGGAGATTCCATTCAATTATTCAATTAGGCTAACGTAGGCCAACTCGAACACTACTAATTCAGAACATAACTAGTTCGGCGAAGTTAAGTGTTAAAGTCGGCTTATCAAAAGATAAGGCATCTAATCCGTTATAGCTAAGATACTTAGCTAGGCTTTAATTAAGCATTAGTAAGTAGTAGTCAACGATAGAACGGCATAGTCAATAGATCGGGGAAAAATTTGAGGTATATAATAAGAAGCTATTTAGCTCAAACTTTTTAAGGTTAATAGATCTTAGGGAAGATAAGGAGATAGTTGATCTACCAGATAAGACATATCTCCGTTCAGAATATTATGCATACGTACTAATATTCCCTCAATACTAAAAAAAGTGCGGTCTAGAGAATAGGTAAGGATATAGAATAAAGGATCTTTTTTCGCGTGAATTAGCAATAAAGAATAAGGGCATGAATATTAAAATATAAGGCATCTAATACGGCGGATATAACCCCTAGGATATCTACACGAGCTTAAGTAATAGTAATAAAGGTCTTTTTTTTATATAAGTTGTTATCTCTTCGGCATTTTTAATATATTTATATAGGCTCCTTAATTCTATAGTACACTTTGCCATTAACCCACTCAAAACTGCTGATACTGTTAGAGATCACCAGGACCAAGCAAGGCTTGCCCCTATAAATACCTCGTAGACGTCGGCCCTCCTAGTATTTTCTAACTAATAATCATTATAGGTTGTATTAGCGAACGAAGTTCAGTTTGCCTTATACATAGGTCCTATTCCTTATAAGGGACTTAACTACCTAGATAGGTAAGGTACGTCTTTTTCCTTTCCTATAAAGTCCCTTAGAATGCTTATATGGTATCTAACCGTAAAGCCTAGAGTATACCGAAGCGTATTTCGTCAAATAAAAGGATAGCGAGAGAGGTAAGCGTATTCTCTCTATTTCAAACGAACTTTCGCTGACTACTAGCTTCGTTGTATACCTTCCTTATAGCGATATCACACAATATAGTTATCCTAGGTACCATCGAGCCGGCGTATATTTTTGGAACAGACCCTAATATCAACCGAGGCCAAAGCACGTTAATGCCTAAGGCACTAATAGACTCCTAGCCTAGGGGTGAGTAAGCTAGGTTTCTCCATAACACCCTTTAGGTTCCTTTCCGAAATAGAACTGACCGCTTTACATCTACTCCTAGCCTCAGCACGAATTCCGGGAGTATAAGAGTTCCTATAAAGGATCGTAGGTGCTCGGGTTGTACTACTACGCTAGCCCGGCCAAAAAGGCACAACATTTGTTAGCAACCAAAAACCTACTAGACATACTCGAACTCTAACAATTTCCCTAGGCCGTGGTTGCGATATAGGCATAAATACAAAACATCGGTTCTAGATTACATACTATAGGCCCGGAACTATTGTCCCTTCTCCTACCTTAGATTTTAGCCTATCTTAAGCTTCTAATAACCAATCATAGTAGTAATTAATTCCGGATAATATCTTTGCCGAAACACGGATTAACTGATAAGCTAGCTATCGCCGGTCGTACCTAGATAGCTATTCCTAATCCCTCTTCCTTTCGATAACCTAATAGCCAATAATAGCCCTACCGATTATAAGAAACTCTTTTTATAGGCTAAAGAGCGTTAGAGACAAAAAGAATAGAGACAGAAGTAGGCTAAAGAGCGAGAGAAGTAGGAAAGGGAGCGTAACCGACGAACGATATTTATAGAACTCCTACGCTTCTACCATACCTTACTTTCCCGACCACTAAGAGTCGAAACACTATCTCGCTCGACTATAGGGAATATACCTCTTCCTACCGGAAAATACTATCCGATACGACTAGTACTATAGACCGATTGTTTATCTCGATAGTAAAAGATATATAGCTCTATATATAACTACCTCTAGCTAACCGAGGAAGCCTAAGCACGATTTTTTACCCCCTTAATTACGCTTAAGGAGGATACTAGACGATTCGGTCTCCGCCTAATTAGTAGTAAGTAAGGTCTCGAGAACTACGAGCGAATCGCCGTAGAAGATCACGTCCGTAATATTATTATAGAGCTATACAAAATCGACGCTACCCGAGACGAGTTCGGACTTAGAGACGGAATTTAGTTCGATAATCATACCAACTCTTTTAATCAACGAGGCGGTAGCGAAGTAAATATAAACCAATCATCAGGTATATATAACCCCCGACCTAATCAGTTCTATATCTACCGAGTCAACGGCGACACTAATACCCTCCTTACTACGGTCGAATACAAGCCGCCCTATAAGCTTTCTATCGAAGCCCTTCGCGTAGGGCTTAGGGAAATAGATATATAGAAATGTATAGTTAGAGTAAATAAAATCACTACGGATCATATAGGAAAATTGAAATACAATATAGAGCGGCTTGTCTGCTCCGCTATTATCTAGGAATACCATATAATAATCTAGGAGGGACTCGAGTACTCTTATATAACGAATAGGGTCGCTTGTATCCTTCTCCGCGTACTATACGACGATCCTAGTATATTATACTACTTTTTCTATAATCCTAATAGCGAATAGAGTCTCTAAGAGCCGAAGACCTCTATCGCTAGGATTCTATATCTATATTTAATAGCGTTCTATTCCCCTATTCGTGACTAGGAATAGAGAAATACTATATAGTCGCGGCTCTATTTATAGACAACGAGCTTCGACCACGCTCGTTCTTAGATTCCTAAGGAAGTCTTATAGCAAATCGCTCTGCACTCCGACAGTACTAACTTAGAGTATATAAGTCTAGAATCGAGTTCGGACTACTAACTATCGTCGCCTCCACTAGAATCTCCGACAGCGGGTCGCCGAGTGCCCACGAGGTCTTAAGCTAGCTACGCACCCTCGGATATACGCCACCGGACGTAGTCGCTAGACTCGTTAGGCTCCGACTTAAATCAAGCGATGGGACGCAAACGAGGCTTCAGCTAGGTTATATCTTCCCCTTCCGCGTAATAAGCGGCTCGTTAAAGCGAGGCTACGAAAGACTAAGGTAGCTATTCTAAACGCTATAATATACAATTTTATACCTAGCGATGCTTATTCGGGTTACAGACTAGAGGTATCCTAGACGACAGTTACCCAAATATAAAGCTCTATCGTCGGGGCTAAGATATCATAAAACATTCTATCACCTCGGAGGATTTAGTGGGGTTACTTAAAGTACAACTAGATGAAAATATTGACCGATATACGCCCCTTAGAAATTGCGGGGCTTACAGTACGCCCTTCAAACTTACTTATATCGTATATAGCTATACTGTTATCGGAAAAGGAACCATATCGGGGCTATAGAAAGATATCTCTCGCGAAGCGTAAGTATACTAAATTTTGCGTAAGGCTTAAGGGTCTACTATGCCTATATTTCTAGGGACGATCGACCTAGCGAAAATTTATTTCCTTTATAGGGCTAGAGAGATTCGCTATATACTCGTAATAGGCTAGGGAGGCGAAAGTATAACGTCGATAGAACTTATACCTATCCTTCTCTAGGAGATATATAAGTCGAATAGAGAGATTAAAGCTTTAGGAATTATCTACGAAGATCTTCGGCGTAATAATATTCTATAGAACGAAGAGCTTAGGCGGGCGTTAATCATCAACTTTCACCGCTCTATATTAAAAAGTCGACCGACTTTATAGCGACCACGAGCCGTAAAACGACAATTATGTCAACTAGAGATAGGAGATCCAAAACGTCTTCGTATGATATAAGGCAGTATACTTATTTTATTAGATTAGTAATATAATTAGTATTTCCGGTCCGTATCCGTATAAATTAGTCAGGATTTCTATCTATTATAATTCTTAATACCCGCTTCTCTAATATACCTATATAGCCTCTAATGATATATGATTCTATATACGTTGACAATAACGAATTAATCATCCGATTCTAGCTTTCGGACTTAACTTTTATATAATGCCATAAATCATATAAAAACCTTAATTTAATTATAAAGTTTTAGGACCGATACTATAGACTATCGTATATAAACCGAAAATATTGCGATAAGCGCCCAACCGCTCGATAACCTCGAGGAACGAGATTATCTACGTGACTTTCCTAGGTATACTATTAGATATATATTCCATCCGTAGGCCTCTCTCTACTAAACTCCTTTGAAAATTTCTTATTTGATTCGGCGGCTAACTTCAAGTATTTGTAGTTCACCTGGTTAACGTCAGCCTTAGCGAGAGCGTATATAATTACTGCGATATTTTTGATCTAGTTTATAATTAGTCAGTAAGTAAGATATTCAGTACCACTCGGATACCTACCTCTCGTCTATTTAGAGCTAAAGACTCTAATCGTCGAAGTTCGTACTCCTTAATAATAGTAGGTCCTTATATCGTATATACCTTAGATAGAAAAGTTGACCAGAGATCTCTGCGAAACTCTCTCGTTAAATTCTCATACTTAATAATTAAATAGATCCGGCTAAGAATTACGTCATCAAACTAGATACCCCGATTTGAAGTTAAGAAAAGAATTCCTTAATAATATTCCAGCTTTCGGAGGAAAATAGTCATAAGGCGATTATAGGTATCGTAGTAAGATGTACGCTGCTCTATAAACGCGTCTGCCTCATCCAAAAGAAGTACGGTATTAAAGTATTTAGCGATCTTAAATACTGTCTTAAGCTATTGCTTAAGCGTATTAGAATCCCCGTGGTTAACAATAAGTTCGCCTATAGATATCTAGAAAAATTAGTAACGCTAAAATCAACCGAGCTAGATAGTTTATATAGAATAGAGGGGGAGCTTGAAATACTCCGAGGTTACCTTAACCGTAAAAGTCTTTCCGACTCCCGGTAGGCCACTAGTACAAATTAAGTTAAGAAGTCTTAATATCATAGACGCTTTACCGATATACTTTAGAAGAATATTAAATCCTTAGCCCTTTCTATTAATTACGTCGTCGAACGGTACCGTCGGTATCATCCCTAGGCGGGTTTTCGCTAATAACAAAAGGATAGTCTTAGTCTCTAAAGGGATCTTTAGACAGTCGAACGACTTAGGTGACCAAACCACGTCCCTAAGAGCACTAACTACGCACTCTACTAGAATCACATTAATTAGATACTAAACCGTTGTCGGTCGCGTTATATATAGAATATTTTCTCCTTAAAACTAAAACAGCAAACTATTAGGTAGGCGACTAGTAAATCGGCTTCGCTTAGCTTTTGTACATCCACACCGTCTCCTCGCATTCTCTCCTTCTCTCGCTTACGGTCCTCTATAAGCATTATACTAATGTTAAAGACTACAATTCTAACATTATCCTTAACCCCAATATCGCGGAGTGACGGTCGGGAGTAGTTTGGCTGTATTTTATAAAAAAATACGGTATCTACTACCACTCGACTATTAATATTAACTTTAATAGCCTTCCCCTTATTTATAAAAAATGCGCTGCCTTTATAGTACCGAACGTATAAGCCGGCTAAATTCCAAAACTTTTGACCCCTTTCGATCAGGTCTTTCCGGACTTACTCGTAATTTAAATAGTGATAGAGAGGGAAGGCCTTAAGGGCCTCGATCGGCTTTAACCCCCGAAACTTTGCAATATATAGAAAGATTCCGGTCTCGCCGAACTTAACTCCGTTATAATCAAGGAATCGGCACTCGAGATTTAACTACGTCTCGTTATTTTATATTATCTCTTCGCCCGTATCGAATACGATATATCGCGGCTCTTTTGTGCTAATATATATAGTATAAACATAGCAACTAGGCTTAAAAAGCGCCTAAAGAAGGTCATATATAATATGACCGTGCTATAATATTGATTCGAGACGCTATAAAGTAGAAGTATATGTATACTTAAGGTGGTCGATAAGCAAGAGGAGATACTCTGTATATACCGACTTATAGTCTAAACTGCTATTTATATTCTCCGTATATCTATCGAGCTCTAGGAGGAAATAGAAAAGAAAATTTTGCTCGATCTAAATCTACGTTAGCGTGCTCCTTAACGATAATACTATCTTAATTACCGATAGCTTATCCTCTATCAGGCTAACGGCCTTAATGTCGTATAGCACCTCTTGTAGGATGTCGTATAGGCCTTCCGACTTAATATCTATAAATAGCACTACCTCCTCGGACCTCCGGTCTGATCATACTATTAGTAGGTTTTCAGTCCGGCATATAAAGGTATCACGTACTAACACGTTCACGGATAACGAATATATACTTAGCGTAGTCGTCTAGGTCATTGCTAGTCTCCGTTAGCTCGGCAATCTTATATTTATATACTTCTTTGTCCTAGCTAGACCTGTATTAGCTATCTAGAAAGCGGAAGGGAGGGTTGGCCGCTAGCTTATACGTTTCTATAACTATTTTGAATTAGGATTTTGATACCTATTTCTCAAACGACTTAAAATCATCCGGTATGGTATAGATCGGACTTTCGAGATCAATCTCGTCTATTGCCTAAACATTCTCTTCCCGTTCATTGCTAGCAGAAGAAGACTAAGTAGGCTTATTTGCCATAGAAAGTTTAGCTGAAGCATATTCTAGCACCTACCGAACCACGTCGGTGCCTAGTAGGAACCGGCCCTAGTAGACATGAGTGTTTAGAGGCACTTAATTAGTAAGATCGAACACCTTTTCAAGAAATACTCCAAAGAGATACTTCAGATCCTTCACGGTAGCTTAAACTAAAGCCAACTCCTTCGTAGGGCTGTCTAGGGGCGTCAAGCCTTAGTAAGAGGGAGAAATTCTCTTTAGTGCCATACTATGCTCGGAGGAAGGCATATCCGGGTCACTATAAGTAGGAGCCATATCGTTGATCTAGCTGATAGAATTATTTATAAGATAAAGAAGAAGTATTGAATCCGTAAGGTCAACCCCTAATATAAATACGAACAAAGTATTATATAAACCGGAGGTATTGCTCTCATTTATATCTTCACCACCTCTCCTTTTCGGATTATTATCACCTATTCTAGCTCTTTGATTATCTCGTCTAAGTACCAGCTAGCCAAGTTGTAAGCATAGACGAAAGGGTCTTTCTTATCCCCCTTACTAATATAAACCTTTATATTACATCGATCTTAGATCTACTAGTATAAAAATCGATAAGTTAATATTTATCGAGACTTTTAGATTATTTTAGGGCTATAGAGATTAGCCACGTTATATATCAAAGCGGGGTATTTTCATATAATGTGGTTCTTAAGCCCGATAAAGCTAAGCTCACCCGCTATCTAATTCATTAACTATCAGCTATTCGTCGGACTTTTATAAAACTAAGATATTATATCTATAAGCATAGTTCTCTCACAATTTTTAAATTTACTTAATTACATAGAGTCTTTTAGTCCTAAACTGAGCTCTAACATCCGTCCAACCCGCGACCAGTTAGACGAGATTTAGAAACTAAGGGATCGTCTTAAACTAGCTTTGGCTACTATCGAGTCTTATATAGAACATCTATTGAAAAAAGTAACTCCGACCGTTAAAGACCGAAATCTTATAAACTAAATCCGATCTTTCTAAGTCGCCGACCAATTCGATCTAGCATTATTTAGAAATAATCTAGTACTTATCTTTCGAGGACTAGATGAATCTATATTAGATATAGACAAAGTGAGAATAAGGAAAGCCAAATCTCGAACTCGATACAAAAAGCTTTACGCCGAGTCTCCCTACTTAATTCTAAGGTAGGTAATAATACTTTAGCCATCGGCGTAGGTCTACCTAATAGCTATAGCGGATAGTATATTCGATTTTCTTATTGGAGATTTAAAGGCAATCTTCGATCAAATACCTTCTAGGGTCGCTAAAAGCCTATATTACTTAAAGAACGAGGAGCCCTTAAAACCTTACGAACAATTCTAAGAATTTGTTAAATTTATAGATCAATCGATTAGTATAGAAGAATAAGAGAATAAAGCGCGATATAAACGGAAGCGTATAGAAGAAAGTTTATTAACGGAAGGAAAACTTCATACTATAGAGAGTGATAATAAACAGATAATAGAACAAAGAAGCAAAGGTAAGTAAATAACGCCATATCATACATAGGAAAATAAAGCTAAAAAGACGATAGAAATCGACTATAAAATATCATCTATACCGTCCGGCAAGCTACCACATTTGATCAAACGTCTTTCGTAGGCGATAGAGAGTAGCGAGCAATAGAAGTGGGAAAGACGAATCTTCGCTAAAAGGCTAGGGAGTAGCGATACCGAGATAATAGATTACCTAAACTTTTTCGTCCTAAAAGATCGAAGTCAAGATATATCCATCACCTTAGTAGTTAGTCGCCGTACTAGATTTAATTTGATACACGAAGCAGAAGTTGAAATTATTCGCGCTTAAAAGTTATAGTTGCTCCGATTATAGGAGCTACGATCACGCTCACTTAGCATCCGGTAGGCACAATTATAGTTTCCTCCACCGAAGGGTCTTATCTATTTTCCTAAATAATAGGAGACCGAGGATCCGCGTTCGGATTAAAAATAACGATTAATTCCCCTTTTCCTATGATTATTCTATTATAGTCCATCTCCCGAAATAGAGTACCGCCTTTAATTTCGTATATATGATTTTCTAGCGCTACGATTCTAAGTTTTTCGGTCATTTCAGATAGCTTTGCTTTCTTCGTTTCAGACTTAGATATAGACTAAGACAGCGGATAGTCGAGTTCCTAGGATAAATTCGCGAGGCGGAGTTCGATAAGATTTTACGGGGAACCGAGATAATAGGATAGTCGAATTCGTAGGATAAGTTCGCGAGGTATAGTTTAATAAAATATTATAGGAAAGAGTACTTCGAGCGGAAGCCCCGCTTAAATCAAATTTCTAGATAATAGAGGGACGACTAATACGTGACGGTTATAGCCTAATCGGGTAGACACGGGAGGTTAGTAAACGAGGACTAGAGATATATCACCGGACTCACCTCAAAATATCAAATTTTCTTCATAAGGAAATATAGAATGATTAATCTCATTAAGCTTAGTATAGCTATCTCGGTCTTTTCTATATCAGTCTAGGCTCCGGATCAACCAAGCGGTCGTTCTCATAGTTGCTAGTTATAATTGCCCAAATTTTTCAAGATATATACTAACGGTAATAACTCCTAAAAAAAAACAGAAGAATATAGCCGTTAAAGCAGCTGCCTTTAGCGCCCGTTAATAATTAGAGGATTGATTCCGGAAGAAGCCCAAGCTTCGAGAAGAGGTTAAGTACGAACTGTTTAACCGACTACAAATTCGCCAAAGTAGAATATACTAGATCACGAAAAAAAATGTCTTAGCTATCGTGAGTAGAAGAAGTAATACGTATAAAATATAGCGTATTCTTCTCTATATATAGTCAAGAAAAAAACTATTCGATTGAGTTGAGATCAGGCCGACCGAAGCTAACAAAAAAGACTTACGTTAGTAGTAGCAATGATTTAGCGATAGGAAAGATAATAAAAATATAGATTGACCAGGAATTTTAGTTAACAAGGCCTAGAAACTTATAGATATCAGTAAGATTTATATTAAAGTTAGGTCTATTTACCTCGTTTATTAGTAGCAGAAGAAGTAGAAACCCCAATTCAACTATCAGAGCAGGCCTCGAAGAATCTATATATAGGACTCGTCAGCTGATAAGTAGGAACGCCTTAATAATACTCACCGCTTTAGAAGACCGGTTAATAAGTAGCTAATACTATCGACCTAAGCAGGCTAGTACAGACCAAAACTCCCACCACAGCCTATAAGAAAACGTAGGGTTTTTAATAGAGTAAGATAAGTCGGGATAGCTATCCGTTAGATATCAACACAAACCAAAGTAAAAGAGATATACCAGCATATAACGATACCATTACTAAAAGGAAGACTTAGGAAGAATCAATTTCTGCCATTTTGATTTAATCATTTTGATTTTTACATATCCGTTCGATAGGTCACTTATAATATTTGCCTTCAGATCTAATATTAAAGAGCCCGGAAAGCTTCAGGTTTATAACAATTTTAAAAGTAATTAAATATCTTAGGGGTTATAGTTCTTTATTAGTCAAGAAAATTAGTGACTTATTAAAAGGCAGAGGCGTAGATCACGGTAGGACTGCCAGCCGTACGCCACTCTATCCTGATTTAGTATGGCTCTTTATATAATAAACACTCCGCATTATGAAGTACAACAACAACATATAACATAGCCCTAAGTAGCGTCAGTATATTTACCGTGTTGTTTCCTCATATAAGATTGTCGATATAGCCTCGCGCTAATACACGGAGTTTTATATTATTACCTACCTTCAGCTAATTACACACAATTCATTATATGCCGCCGGGCCAGGCCCCCGAACCAAAGCATCGTGCCGCACTAGAGCGTCTAAGTCGTGGTATTCTTTTATCTTAGATAGGGTTCCCCGCTCAGTTCATATAGTGTTAGTCTAGATCACTTAGACACGGACTAAGGCTACGAAGTACGCCCGTATACGTAGGTTTTGAAGTTAGTAAAGCACGTCATATTAGCTGCTTTTTAGGTCTAGGGTACTTACCATAATTGCTAATTATATAACAGCATATATATCTAGTAAAAGGCACGAGGAGATAAGAAACCCGATTAGCCATAAGACTTCCATATCGATATTAGTCGAAGGTAGCTCAAGGACTATACTTGCCTACTAGCCGGGTCTCTACTACCCCTCCCTATTTCAAAACATAAATATAATCTTAGAAGCCTCTTTAATCGCCTATTCTCGAAGTATTACCCGAAGTCTTCGTACGAGTAGTGATATCTATCAAAATATTTAACCATTTATTATAGCAGCTCTAGTCGCTATAGCTCCTACTCTTCTAACCCTTAATAAGGCTCTATAGATCTAAGATCTCCGGAGGAGTCGTACCTTATAAGTAGTCTTATTCGCATCTCGATCAAATAAAGATAGCTAATCTCTTATAAGTACAACAAGCTCCCTAATAATAGTACTCAGCCCGTTGTTACGAACGAGCATATTACCAACCTTACGGCATTGTTCGTTCACCATAATACTAAGAAGGTCTTAGGAATTCATTTAATTCACGGCCATTTTAAGATCCCCGAGAGCACCGTTATAGTCGGCACTAACTTTAAGAACCCTACCCTTCGGTAGGCTAAGACTATAAATATTAACGAGATCAATCCCCTAACTATTCATAGTCACATTTTTACACTCGCTAGAAATAAGCTCTATCCTTATAAACTCTAGGATAGGCCTCTCCCCGACCTATCTAGGATCGGCCATGATTTCCTCGCTAACTTCCTTAAATATATTATTAAAAACAATCTTTAGGATATCATCGGCCTTTAAATTCTAGGTTACAATGACCATTCTATATCGGAGCTTATTCTCGAATAAGCAACTGTCATATTAGATTCCTCAATCGTTAAGAACGTAGTAACGTCCCGTATTACGGGTTAGCGATTCAAGTCGATTAATAGGAGCCCGCGGGTTTACACCTTAGGCGAAGTCTATTCAAAGATAACTTCTAGCAATCATAAAGTCTTTAACGCTAGGAAGCCCCTTCCGAAGTTAGATAATATCGAGGAATTAAAAGTAGCTCTTACCGAGGCCGGTATACTCTAATATTCTCCCAAATAGCTTACGGATTGGCTTACTAAGCTAGATAGCTTATTCACTCGTTCAATTTTCAAATCTTATGGTATATAGCCGCTTCTTACTAGAAAACCCCTAAAGCTAATTCACAAGCTTCGTAGTAGGCACGATAAGTAAGCCATCCAAACCAAGCACTTCGTAAGCTCCGCTTTCATCGTCACAGATAGGCTCAGGCTTCGGCATATTAGCAAGGCGGCTCGTAAATCTATAAGAAAGCAAAAGGCCCACGATCATTATAGATTTTATCGTTCGGATCGTCTCCTCCTCGAGACCTCCAGTACCTACGGAAAGGATATTCCAAAAGTTGTTATTTAACGTATCATAATTACCATATCGAACCCAGCCAACACCAAGGCGATATTTGCTTATAAACTGCTAGAGAGAATAGAGGTTCGTTCCGAAGGGACCAATCTCCGCTTCGGCCTAGTCAATAATTCCGACTAGATAGTTACTATCGGCATTAACCATAATATTATATATACCAAAATCCTTATAAAGAAGGACTATAAGCAGCGAAAATATAGTAGGTAGAGCGTCAATCGACTATTAGATTATTAGGTAGAAGCGATTAGATAGAGCAGCTAAGAGCCGCTATAGGTCTTCGTCATATCTTTAATAGAGGTTTTCGCAAAAGGATCGGTCGATATTCTACGGGTTCTTCTATATAAGAGCAAAGAGCCTATATTCATAAATTTTCGGGTCAGATCATTTATATAATATAGCCTACCTTAAATATACCTAGTAATATCGGAGACCAGATTCTCTCTCTAGGTAAAGTACTCTAGAGAATTCTCTAGGAGGTTATATATAAAGATAAAATCGAGATAGCTAATACCTTTCACCCGACTTATTATATAAACAGAGAGAGGTTCCTTCCTACTAACATTATCTCCAATCTAACCGTAATAAGAGACGGAGGGCACTAAGGATCTATATATATTACTAGCAATATTTATAATTTCTATCTTTAGCCTAAAAGACCTTAGTCGGAACTAAACTATATACTCATAATTTGGACCTACGTATACAGAATAACTACAAACGCCTTATACTATAATAGGGGTCATAGTACCTCCCACGAGTTCCTATACTCGATTATCATAGGACAAGCGGTCTATAGAAGTCTTTTAGAAGAAATAGAGAATCTCCTAATCGACTAAGTATTCCTAGTTTCCGGAACTTATATTGAATAATACTAGCGTTCTAGTAGGAGAAAAAGGGCGAAGACGAGAACTTCTATCTAAGCTAAGAATAAAGCGTAGAAGAAATAGGATAAGAAGAAAAAGCAGTTCGGCAGATATCAGTAGGTAGTAAAGAATGCCTACTAGACCGTGGTAATTAGGCGATACGGCGAAAATATTAGTAAGTAATGCTAGAAAGGGGTAACTGCCTAGTTAGTAATCAGATAGGATAATAGTTTGTCCGTATCATTTCCATATAGCTTTAGTTAAATTATTCTCTAGCGGGTGATCCTCGCCGACTAGCTCCTTAAGTCTCGTTCCTAAAAGCTATACTAATAGCGCCTTAGGGGTAATTATATATCGACGTTATAAGAGTATACGTTAGTAGTGTAGGCCAAAAACCTAGAGATTTCGGTGAACCTAGGGGATATTACGGCATAGTCCGCTCCCGGGAGCCGTAGGTCGAGGCGAGGCGTCTTACAAACTTCTTAAATAACGCGAGCATAGTAATTGACTAATAACAATCTACTATATCCACTATATATATAGACCAACCTATTAATTAGCTATACCTAATATGATCTATAAGACTCCACCTAAAGCCTAGCCATACTCCCTAGGGCGCCACCTACGTAGAGATCAAATAGTCCTAATATAAGCTACAATAGTAGAGGCAAACCGGACTCAGCCGCGGGTTTTAGGGGAGCTTATTATACGAGACGGCGTATTAGGGTACTAAACTAAAAAAAAATATAAAACTAACCTAAAAAGACAATTCATAAGTCTACCGCTTGCGTTATAGCTTTAGATATAAGAGAAAAGAGGTAGTGGTCTATATATTGATTAGGATGACATTCTCTATAAGACCAACGCTATTTCTTCAGCGTCGTGCTCTAGTATACCTTTATAGACCATTTGCTTCTTCTAGGGAATTTCTATATAAAAAGGTTCGTTACCTCCGACCAAGCGAGATTCTATTCTTCCCTAGCTATACAATATAACGTTAGATTGGCCTAGATAAAGATACCGAGTCGAGAGTGCTAGTAATTTAGACCTAACGTATCTAGAACGTTATATCGGTTTAACAGAGTGCGGTTCCGTATAGTAAAAGTAAGAAGACTATAGGAGTCACGCGTAAAGCCGACGGTATATGCGGTATTTCTCCTATTAGATTAAAGCGTCTTATATTCGAAAAAGTCTACGGTCTACCTTACTACGCCTCGCTAGAAGAGGGCTATGGCGAAGCGATCGTCTCCAAAGGACTGCTTAGCGTAAGGATTAGCGTCTAGTTAGGTAAGGTATCATACGTAACTTTGGGGCCGAAAAAAAATACTAAGGAAAACTTATATATAGTAAAGAAATAGCTAAAGACTCTTAGGATATAGTGACTGCGGGCACTTATAAAATAAAGAAACCGGCAAAAAACAAGGAATAGGCGAAGAGGAGAATTTTAAGGTGATTCGAATTCTAGTTTTGCTGTATTAGTAGAATTGTAGTCTCTTTTATAGACGACGACGGAGGCCCGGAAGATATAATCCCCGGAAGATATAATCCTTCTTCCTTCTACTAAGAGTAGACAATCTCAACTAGATCCTACAATCCAACCTATTATAGTCGAGGACGCTAGACTATACTAGTTTTATAGTCTATAACAAATTATAGCTTACTAGTAAAAGTTCCCGTAGTTGTAGTCTTGTATAGACTATAAGATATAGCATCGACCAAGATCTAGGACGTATACGGCATTTTCACTATTAGCCTAAATGACCGAGCTATGATTTCGAGTTTTTACTGATTGGGTAGAGAGGGATTAGAGAGACCGACGATAACGACAACTAGGCGTTTAGCTAGGCAATAGGGAGCTATTTTATAAAGCCGGGGCTATATAATATAACCTTAGGTAGTACGGTGGGAGAGGGATATATAGCGTCGAGGGTATACTAGCACATTATAGATTTGAAGGGAGGCCTGCGGAATCAGAGACGAAAAGGCGTACTAGCAGAGGGAGACTTAGATATCCTCGTAGTATGATATTTAGTCACTGCCCTAGGGAAGGAATAGGATCGATACGAAAGAATAGGATGCTATATCATCCTAGTGGTTACGCTTCTAGGTAATAGGCATTATAAACTAGATATTAGATCGAGCGGTATCTCCGGTAAAAAGAAAGGGGTAGTACGTCGGGCTGAAAGTAAATACGTAGTAGTCGGTAGGGGCTAGAATAAAAGAAAGGGGGCGGCGATAAGTATAAGATAGAGGGGTAGGAAGAATAAAAAAGTAAGAGAGGGGGAGGAAGAATAGCGAAGACGGGTCTTTTATATCGGCGGCATTAAAGGTAGGTTACGTAATAGCGTATTAGGGCACTAAACCCTAAAAGGCAAAACTAACCCGATATAGTAATTCATAGGTCCGCCGTTTATAAGATTTACATTATAGTCGAAAACAGTATCGCTAATAGCAAAAAGTGACATTAAAACTATGTTTTAGTGCCAGAGAGGCTTAGCAACTCTACAGAGAGACTACTACCGCTCTTTAAAACTATAAAAGCTAATAAGGTTCAACTACTGCCTAACGCACTACGGGCGCTAGATACAGCGGGACGGTCTTATTTTTAGCGATCCGTTTAACTAATATTAGATAAAGACTAAGAACTATTGCCAACTTAAACCGGGGAATAGCGGTCTACCGTTTGCCTACGCCGAGGTGGACCGTATCGCGGTCTAAATATACCTTCTTCGGTATCTTTGCTCTTACTACCCGCGGCTTAAACTGCCTCGTAAGGTGCGCCTCTATATAAAGATTCGCTCCTTATATTAGGACTCCGCCTAGAATGCCTAGAATTCCTAGCCTTACGGCCCTTAAGGCGTGTATAATAGCGTACCTAGAGGGAGCCCTCCGACCTTCTAGGAAAATACTCTACGATCCGTTTCTATAGCAAGCTCCGCTCTTCCTTCAATTCAATCAGAAGCTAGTCGTCCTTAGATAGGATTCGAGTTAGCCTAGTCGTTTTCCCAGCGCGGGACCCTTTCTAAGGGGGTTGCTTAGAATACTAGCTGCTAATTTTGTTTTTATAATGTGAAGTAGCTCTACCTAATCTCTAAGGGTAGGAATGCTCTACCTACTCTTTAAAGGTAACTAAATAGATAACCCTTAATAAAAGTATCTATCGCGTAAGGAAACCTCGGATAGGAATCGTTTCGATATCGTATAAGCTTGTTAGGGAAGTCTGATCTACGACCACTTTGGATTGAACTGCCTCGTCGACCGAGAGGCGTTTAGTATTCTACCGAGGAGGTCTAGGCTTAAGCTATACGGTAGGTCGCCTTACTCTTTTCAGTCGATAGAAAGAAACGCTGTTCCTATATACGTCTTCACTACTTTCGCCTACGTAGTCCGCATCGTCGAGGCTATTAGGGTTATAGCTATTATTATTAGATATATATTTATCCCGGTCTCGCTTCCTATTCGAAGAGGCTATTCGTGTTATTAAGATAGAGTCCTTCGTTCCTCGATCTTAGGAACGGCAGTTGGAGATAACGACCGACGGCTAGTCTAATACTAGATAGAATCCTATAACTTCCTCTATTAGATTGTATAGCGACTACTTCTCGCTATCTTGAAAAGTAGATAAGATTTCACGCGCTAGTACTCTATTTTAACGAAGTTTTAGAGATGCTAATAGGCTCTCCGCATTATAACTCTATAGCTCGCCTTCGTTGTTATAAGTAGTAGCCCTATCTTTCTCCTAGCTAATAACTATATAGCTTTCGGAAACGGGCTATCTGTTATACTTCTCGGCTGGTATACTCTTCCCGATAACGTAAGCTGCCGGTTTCGATCCTAATTCGTCTACTTCAATTCTAGTATCTCTAGACAATAAATCCGTTAGAGTAGGTTGCTTTTCCTAGCCTATAGTATAAAGAACTTAGCTATTAACTATTATATTACCGTCTGCTATATCTATTATCGGCTTCGAATATAGCAAAATATCTCCCTCTATCGTAGCTTCGTCTATATTCTACTACGTGAGCCGGAGGACTAGGTAACCGAGCTAACTAAGAGAGTACTAACCTATATTTTTATATACTTCTATTCGGCTTAGAATTTCTTCCTCCGCTACCGGGATATAGAGGCTATCACGGATCGATATAGAGTATAAAGGTATAGATTGCTTAAGACCTCCCCCCCTAGATAATATCTTATATTATATTGCTCTTATAATGCTTATTACCTCGGAAGTCTAGTCTTAAAGTGCTAAGTCAGCCCTCTATTATCGACCAAGTTATCGTTAAGGAAAGATAGATAAGGTATAATAAGTTCAACAGAGTAAATTAGAGAAATCAAAGGGAGTTAAAATAATAGCCACCACGTACTATTATAAAGCTAGTCGGAGAAACCTTACCCTAAATCACTACTAGAAATATTATCCGGTAATTCTCGATTCGCTATATATATATTTGATATAGTAACGTTTACATCTCTTTCCGAAGAGGCATTTAAGAAATCCATATCAAACTTATTCGAGCTGTTAATAGTCACTTCTTCCGTAAGCTCGTTAGGGGCTAATAACGTCTCGACTTCACTAGGTATATAGAAATGACTTTAAAGGTACGGCGTATACCCCGAGAATAGAAGACTCGAACGCTAGTACTAGCTAGATAGAAACGGATAGGCCGGCGCGGGTCTATCTAAAGATATCTATGAA